ACACAAAGGGTGCTATGCCTACATTATGGTGAATATTTAGTCCTATAGGGTTGCTGTATTCAATGTCTCAATCCAATGGGCTTCCCTAGATTGACGGAATTTGGTAGTTTCATCTTCGGGCAAGTCAATTTCTATACGCTCAATTGGGATTAGGGCGAGATCGTCTATTGAATGGTCGTCGAGGTTGAAATGATTAGAAACAGGCTTGTCTTTCTTTAATTTGATGTCTGACCTATGAGCATTAAAGCGAGTTCGTAAATTATTCTTAGTTTCTCCTACATATTGTTTGGGGCATTTCTTGCATGAAATTAAATATATTACATTCGAATGTTCACATGTTAGATGTTCCTGGATCGGGTACCTTTTATTCGTAGAGTTGCTTACAAAATAATGAGTTTCTGATATAAAGGGACATGTTTTGCATCTACTGGACAAACATGGAGCACTTCTTAATCCTGGAGGTACTTCGGCATAAAGTCTGCTTTTAGCTGCTATCTGTGCTAAGGTGGAATTTTTTATGTTTCGTAAAAATCGTTTAGAGTACCCACGCTCTTTACAGTTTTGAGAAAACAATCGTACAGGCTTGGTTGAAATCAGAAGATCTTGTACAAATTCGATGAAATCGTAAAACTTGTGACTTAATTATACCAGAAAAGGTATGTTTTGGGTGAAAGGGGCTCTTGTGCAAGAGTTGATGAGTATCAGTTTCTTTGAAATACACTTTAATATCCAGTTTATTTGTTTCTGCTATGGAATCTCCCTTAAAACTGTGGTATCGAGAAAGTCTATGCTTTTGTCACTCACGTTTGCGGTTAGTTTGATAGAAGGATGGTGGTTGTCAAAGAATTTCCAAAACTGTTCGATAGAATAAGTCCAAACCATAAAAATGTCATCCAAAAAGCGTCCGTAAAAACACCCGATCCTGTAAAATTAGCTCTCTCAAAGAGAAAATTATTTGTCTTATTAGCCCCTTTCAAAGACTAACAACAGTTGAAAGACAACTAATAGCTTTTAGTAGAGTGTTGAAAAGGCTAACAAAAGTCTATTATTGTTATCGTGGTAGCCTACATCGAACTCGAAGCAGCCTACATCGAACTCGAGGCTACTTATTCTAATAATAATAATAATAACATAAATGAATGGAGAAATTGTAAGCCTTTGATCGCGCACAGTTTCTTCAGTATGCAAAAGAAATGTGAATCGGGTAAGAAGATTCGTGGCGGCGCCAACCTCCCGAGATTTGGGTAGGCCTATAGGCTACATATATGCGGCAGACTCACTCCAGGCCCGTAGCTAGAGGTCAACAGAGAGGCCCCTCTAAATTTTGTTTTATAAGAATGACTTGTTGAGTCTATATTATAGTTGAGCACCATTCAAAAAAATGAAACTCTGAGTCTGGTTAATCTTGATTTGGCACCATTTTGAGTTCTATTGTGGCAGTGGCTATTTACCACGTTCGTGGTACCTCCCTTACTCAAACAACTATATGATCGATTCGAATGAAATTCTGCTAAATTCTATTAAATATATATCAGACCACACCAATATCCAAATTTCAGTGCGTTGCCTTGTTTATAAATCGAGATCTGACGAAAATAACAAAACGAACGATATAGAGAATGTAAAATGTAAAATATTTAAAATGTGTGGCAATTATTTTACTGAAAAGTTATGATTCGAATTCTTTGAAATTCATACTATCTTGTGTAAATCAAGTATATCAAATTGGAAACAATTCCTGTAATAGAGTTTTGAGTTACCTCCCTTACCCAAATAAACCACGATTCAAGTGAAATTCTACAATACGTTAAATATATATCGGGTCATACTAGTTTCCAAATATCAGAGCGTTGCCTGATTAAGAAATGGTGATATAACTAACGATATTACATTATGTTGACTATTAGGAAGCCTACTCAAATAACACCGCCTTTATCCCCATCTAGAATATTCATGTTACACCAGATAAATTACCATGAAGTAGTTTAGTCTGTAAACTGCAATGAATATCTATTTGAAACTATTTATTTATTTGCCACGCAAAATTTACGAGGTAAATAGCCTTCAGGAATATTTGTCACGCAGTGGTAAATAGCCCCAGCCTTCTAATATTGCATTGAAAAATTTCATAAAGATACACTTAGCCTACTATTAACTAATTTAAAATCTAATATGTTTTCGAAGCCTACTAACAAATTGAAGAGGCTCAAAATTTTCCATGGCTCTACTGGTACAACGACGTATCAGAGGTATACGAAATGTTCTTCAACAACTCCAACGAATAGGCAGCAATCTGAACATCTGAGTGAATTGACTGAAGCCGAAGCTAGGCTTAGTGAACAAATAAGTGGTCAAGGCTTGGTAGATGTTATCGAATCAGAATCAATTGCAACTGAAGGCGAAGGTGGGTTATTAAAACAAGCTGAAACAGTAAACACGAACCCAGGTCCCCCAGATCTTACAAAGACGTTACTGGGCCCACTGGGCTGAATTATGGCAGATAAGCAAGTGCATTGGCAATCCGTGGCTCAGGCCTGTAACTCAGGCCCGTAACCCGTAAAGGGGAGGGGGGATTTTATGGAGGGCTTAGCTATAGACTCGACAAGTCATTCAAGTCATCTAAATTTTCCAGGGGAGGGGTGGGAGGTGGCTTAGCCCCGCCCCCTCCAGCTACGTGCCTGCTGCAGTTGCTTGTTAATATTTCTGCACGCCTACTCATAGGCTATTAAAAGTATGCTTATTTTCAATAGAGCCAGTCCAGCAATGCTTAGCCCAGCTGACCTTCGGTTAAAATTAACATGCAATTTGGTAACTTGGTTTTATTGAAATAAATAGCTCTCTGGGAAATAGGCATTTTATCTATAAACAGTGATAGACTTTATCATATAGTCATAGGTCCAAGGCAGTATATATGTACATGTTTTTTCATTTTTTTCTTTAACTTTCTAGGATCATTGAATAGATACCAAATTGAGAAGTTTAGTAGAAAACAGGATTGGGACTCATTGAGAGACGAAATATTCCAGTGTTATGATACTGATGAAGTTCCAGAATCCTTTGCATGTAATTTATGCCAGAAAACAACAGACAAGATTTACAGATGTTGTGATTGCTGTCAATGGCAAAAACTGTGTATTTGCTGCTTGTTAAAACGGCATAGTTACCCCAATCTTCATATTTTTGAAGAATTTAAGGTTAGTGTCAATTTTGAAATTACTGATACAGAAAAAAAATGCTAGGAATTGTTAAGAGTTGAAGTATATTCTCAACATTCATTATTTCAAATTCTATTAATTGTTAATGTTACTTTGTTGTCATTCAGCTAATTCTTTAAATACATTTATTCATATTTTGCTTTTGTCTTAATTATTCTTGGCCACAAAGATGTGCCAATCTGTTCAAAACCTTTCTATGATTGATAGCAATAGCATTTATGGAATGCTGACCTTTCCTAACCTGAGCTAGTGTCGCTCAAAGTTTCAATGAGATCATCCTGCTTATGCTAATTGGCCACTGGCAAAGTGTGAATTGTTCCCACAAGAGATCATAGAGCAATTAGCAATAGGGAAAGGGAACCTTTTATGTTTTTTTGTAATATATGGTAGTATTTGTAAAGCCTACCAAGATAATTTATGTAGTGGTATGGTGATATGTATAATAATGATATTGATGATGATAATTGTAAGAGAAAGCCTTCATTGAGTGCAGTACAGATACACCAGAGTAGTACTAGAGCTTCCATATTGGTCGCACTGGGATTCCCCATTCCATTTCATTTCATGGGGAAAATGCGACCAATATGGAAGCTCCCAAAAAAGACCTAAACCCCCTACATTTCATAAATTCTTACACCTAAACACCCTTCATTTCATAAATTCTTACACTAAAAAAGACCTAAACCCCCTATATAATTATTACACCCTAAACTCCCTACATTTCATTCACCAAAAACACCTTCAGTCAATTTCCTACATTTCATCAAAAAAAAAAGCATATTAAAAATACCCTTATAAAAAAATAACATCTGGTTTTAAATAATGTAGAAGGGATATAACTCTTGTTTTGGAAAAAACAATTTTCTACTCAAATTTTAAACCTTAAAAATGGCAAATAAAATATTAGATCCAATCTTCAGATTATACGATCCAATTCGTTATTCGTTTAACAAGAAAAAAGAGGATTATATCATCATCATCACCCACTGTTGGTTCTAAATCCCAATTGAATGATGGTGGTAGAATTTACCTTCGAAATAAATTCATTATCGAATTGGTTGCTTCTTTCCGATGCTTATTTCGGATGTGATTTCAAAATTAAAGAAGGAACTCAGAATCAAGTTCCACAAACAAATACAACGTTAGAAAACAATTTCTTTCCATCTTTATTTAGCGAGATGGTTTTGGAAGCTGGTTCAAATTCGATAGAAACAATTAATCACCCTGGGAAATTCGACACAATGTTGAAAACAGTTTTATATCCTAAAGATTTCGATTCAGTCTCAGGCTGGATACCCGATGTTGGCGATGGAAGTGTTTTAAAAGAACCGGTAAGAAATCTTGCAAATGATGCCGATTTAGCTAGAGTGAGAGTTGTCGCTCTAAACACAACAGAAAGAGTAGCACGAGCAGCTAATCATAGATTCTAAAAACGAGTACTTCAATATAATAATATTGTTGAGAATAATAGGTGGGATAATTACGTAAATTGGAAATTATATCCTTTATTCGGTCTGTTGGAACACAGAAAGGTTTCCATAGGGTAACCATATAAAATTCATCTACAAAGAGAAATCAACGATGATAAGATATTTTTTGGAGAGAATGGCTCAGATGCAAAATTAGAAATAACGAATCTCCAACTTTTCATACCCGTAATAACATCATCAAAAGAAGTAGAAACGAGAATATTCAACTCATTAACTAAAGATATTGAAATAGCTTTTCTTCATCGTAATACAATAGGCAGCATAACTTTAACTGGAGAATCCACCACATAGCCAATCACTAACACTATTAAACCAGCAAGATATTTAATAGTTGGTTTCAAGAACTTACCAGATTCTCAAACGAATAACAATAATGTCTTCAGAGTGGCAATGAACCAAACTCAAGATCCTTTAATCCTTAAAGTTCAAGTAAGATTAAACAACGATAATTATCCTAACCAACCTTTAACAATTAATCCAACCACAAAGGATTATAATGAATTGTATAGAAACTATAAAAACATGTGTGAATTATTTGGAAATCCACCTCAGTTTGAATATGTAGATTTTGCAATTAATCACCCAATATTCTGTTTTGATCTATCAGCTCATCAGGAAGATCTTTTCAAAACAGGGGTGAATATAAATATTCATATTGAAAAAAACACAAGGAGATGTAACCGGTTATTGTTTATTATTGGAAGAAGCAAAACATTTAATTAAAATATCCGACAGACTGATGATTCGTATAGAATAATCATTTAATT